TACTATGTGCTAAAAGAGGTAATGTATCGAATCTGATTGGTACTTTATATAACCCAACATAAAATCGACTAAGGCGATTTTTTGGAAAATCGGCTGACTAAGCCGGCTGAATCGATAAAAATCGACTATGCTAAATCGACTAAAACACTAGTTTCATGAAACGGTTTCATAAGCGCGGATTAAAACAATTGACCAATCAAACAATTCAATTTTATGAGAGATCAATTCCGGAGATCATGTAATACGTGTATCAGATTGGATTAAATTTTATGAAATACATTAATTTTTAAAATCACCAACCAAAAAAAATCTACCCATATGACCATACAGGTCTGCACACCTATACCATACTGATCCGCATAATTTAGGTACTTACGTACGTATATCTGGATCTGAATTTATTGGATATTCGTTTTATATCTGTTTACGATATCCGGATAATTATCCGAATTCCTGTCAGATTATCCATTATCCGGATAATCAGATACGAATAAACGGATAACGGATTTATCCTGATTGGAACTCTAACCATTTGCTTAATTTTTGATAGGTTCACTTTTTTTTATTCAGTATATGAGTGCCGTTAAAGGAACCTGTTATCGGACTTTCAATTATATTTTCTGTACAGTTAGCCGTCTATGGAAAATCTATCATGATGATAAATTTTCCATAAACAGCATAAAATATAATTGAAAGTCCGATGATAAGTTTTCTCTTGACGGCATTCATATAGGGATGTTAAGTAGTTTAACCAGGTTGTTTAAAACGTGATCTATTCAATTGAACCAGCTAGTTGAACTAGTTAGTCAGTGCATTAAAATCCATAGTACAATATAAATTAACCACTTGATCAGACTACTTAACATCCCTACATTCATGTATGGGCTAAGTGCTGAGAAAAGGGTCCAAATCAATAAAAAAAATCAATTTTTTTGTTATAAATTTTATAATAAATCATAAGAATATACAAACTTTAAAGAGCTATACTGCAAAATTTTATTAATACAATTACTTTGTATTTTAAGTGAAAAATGATTCTAACCTCATTCTAAATTGATTTATATAAAAAATTTCTTTTGAAAAATAGTCAATTTGGGCCCTTTTTCCAGCACCTAGTTCATACATATTTACAATATGGCTATATACACGAATGTCATATCTAGCACTATTGTTCCGAATAATGCAACCTTTAAGAGCAATGCATATCGTCGGATTCGCGGAATGGATCTAAATTAGGGTCCCTGGATTTAACAATTGCAGAATACATTAGAACTAAATTTTAGGGTTTACAATCGCAGTGTTAAAATATATGGACCTTGATTTAGGTCAATTCCGTAAATTCGCCGATATGGTTGGCAAAATATGGACATGGACAATATGGACCATTGAACATGAACATTTATGGACTATGTCCATATTGTCCATAATTTTCTATTGGACATAAGGCACTTAGTCCAAATCACACACGTGGGCTTGATACTCCGAAATCTTCTGAAGAATATGCCAAAATTAGGGTTAAAGTCTGAAACATCCCGATAAATTCCAAATAAAATTTTTATTGGACATAGTCCAAGTGTCAACACTGTCTAAAAGGAATAGCCATCAGAAACCGCAATTTTTTGACCCCTGACAAACGTGAAAAAGAAGCGAGAATACGAAAACTAATATTTAAATTGACCCAATTTACATATAATAAGTGACAGTCCATTCCTATAGTATCTAATACCAATGTCTAAATTTACACAGTATTTTTACATATTTTCAAAAATTAAATTTCCTTTTTTTTGATTTGATCATAAACCGCGCATATCTATCGTATTTTGTTTGAAACTAGTTATTTACTAATTTTGGTTCATTTTGAATTAAGTTTCTTATTTATGATTAATTTAATTTATTACCAATTATTTTCTAAAATATAATGACATTATATGAATTTTTTATTTATTTACTTTTAAATGAAATTTCTTATAAAAAGGCAATTATTGAAACTAATTTGAAAAATAGAATATCTTTACCAAATATCATACCTAAAGCAGTTATAATATACTAAAGGAGTAATGAGACAAAAATTTATTTCTATGTTCGTTTTATTAGCAGCACTTTCTGTTGTCGTCGCCTTTCCGCTCGAGAAAAGAGCCACTAAATTTGATAAATGCAATGATAACATTGATATTCTCGACGTAACAATTTCACCTGATCCACTCACTCCTTTAAAATCTTTAACTATGAATGCTTCTGGAAAAGTAAAAAACACTGTTGAAGAAGGAGTAGTTGAAGCTAATGTACTTGTACTTAATGAAAATAATTCAGTGAATGACTCCTTCTTAGGTGGTGATTTTATGCTTACAGCTAAAAAAGGGAAACAATTTAATGCGCTTATCAATATTAATCCGCTACCAAATAACTTCAAAATTGTAATGACTGTGACTGCTTCTGATGATGAAGGGAATACTATTGGCTGTGCCAACAAAACCTTTGATTTTTTAAATAAGAATTAATTACCACATTTATAGAGTAACTGTGGACATTAAACTTTCCTTTTTTTTAGATATACTTTGTTAAATAGCTTTATATAGGTTTTCTGTTCGTGCTCATTTTCATGTTGCAATTAGTTATGAGTATGGTTGATTTTAGGTCTTAAAAAACTTTTATAGCAACAGAGTT